CGCTGAGCTGCTGAGGGACAAACTGTTAATCACCCAGGGCTTCTATCACCAGAAAACATGACCCGAAATTTGAGGGGAAAAACAAGGGAAAGGAAAAAATGTCTTTTAAATGTTTGTTTAAACATCTTCTCCAGCTTTACGAGACATTAAACTGTCACCCTGAAATTTCTTTCCATGTGGATTTAAAAATGCATCTAGAGTATATATCCACCTTGAACCAATCACCCTGGTATCTTGGCACCAGAATCAATTCAACCACAACACAAAAACAATTAAAGTAACCAGGTTTTTCATTTAACTGGACATATTGAGCCAAATTCATCCCTGGGGCAAATGCATCATCTTCGGAATTAGAGAGACAAGATGGGTGAGGTAATCGCTTTTATTGGACCAACAGAGCTCTGTGTGGCTCAAAAGCTTGTCTCTCTCACCAGCAGAAGTTGGTCCAATAAAAGCTATTACCTCACCTACCTTGTCTCTCTAATATCCTGGGATCCAAATGGTTACAAGAACACTGCATTCAACTTCAGGGTAGTCAGACATAAATGTGGTCCATTTTGTTGTAGAAAATAAATTGATTCAAATAAACCAGAGACTTTATTAAATCCCCAAGCAACAGACTGTGGAGTTCCTCTCTGATTTTTTCATTTCCCTGCAGTACCAGGAAACCTCACGCAAAAATCTGAGTTGGGGAAAGAAGCCCAGATATTAGCTCCATATGCTATTCTTGGACCTTGCCCACTTCCCTTTAGAAACACAAAACAAATCTGTTTATGTGCATGCAGGGTAGCACGTTCAGCTGCCCTCCTCTTGTTTCCAATGACAGGCGGTTCCTACACGTTTTAAAATAAACGCTTATATTGTACGAAGGAGAATGGACAGTGGGTACAAAATCCCTGTTTGCTCATTTTAGCGTTATTAGTTGTTTGTAAAAGTTTTAGCTACAAATGCCCTTGTTAATATTTAACCAGTATGTTCTACTTCCCCCAAACCCTCTCCACAGCTTAACCTGTTTTTTACCAAATGTATAGTGCCTCTGTCTGTTGCAAGATAAAGTGCCCAGCAGCGCTAAAGTTATTCTAAGTTCCCACGTCAGAGGGCCCAGATATTTGATTGGCAAGACCAGTAATTCCATTGACAGCCTGGTTGTGCTAGGTCACAAGGTAACTTGAGTGCTGTCTCATGTCACCACAGTGATACTTTCTCCTGTTTCCTGAGCTCCCTCTGATCTCGGAGCACTGAATGACCCAGCATGTTAGGGTGGCTTACCTTCCTTAATGCTTCCAGAACGGGGGACCGGGAGGGGCTGTGGAGGCGGGATCTGTGTGATGAGAGGTGGCTGCTGAGGTAACTGTTGGATGATGGTTGCAGGTTGCTGAGGCATCTAGAAACAAAAGGAAAATAAGGCCTGGTCTACACTAGGCTTTTATGTCGACTTTAGCGCCGTTATATCGAATTAACCCTGCACCCGTCCACACCAGGAAGCCATTTAGTTCGACATAAAGCTCTCTTTAAATCGATTTCTGTAATCCTCCCCAACGAGAGGATTAGCGCTAAATTCGACATGGCCATATCGAATTAGGCTAGGTGTGGATGGAAATCGACGGTAATAGCTCCGGGAGCTATCCCACAGTGCACCACTCTGTTGACGCTCTGGACAGCAGTCCGAGCTCGGATGCTCTGACCAGCCACACCCCCGGGAAAATTTGAATTCATTTTCATTTTCCTGTCTGGGCAGTTTGAATCTCAGTTCCTCTTTGGACATCGAGGGGAGCTCAGCAGCAGTGGCAACTATGCAGAGCTCTCCAGCAGAGATGGCCGTGCAATCTAATAGAAAGAGGGCCCCAGCATGGACTGATCGGGAAGTCTTGGATCTCATCGCAGTGTGGGGCGATGAGTCCGTGCTTTCAGAGCTGCGCTCCAAAAGAAGGAATGCTAAGATCTACGAGAAGATCTCCAAAGCCATGGCAGAGAGAGGCTACAGCCGGGATGCAACGCAGTGCCGCGTGAAAATCAAGGAGCTGAGACAAGGCTACCAAAAAACCAAAGAGGCTAACGGACGCTCCGGATCCCAGCCCCACACATCCCGTTTCTACGAGGCACTGCATTCCATCCTGGGAGCGGCCGCCACCACTACCCCACCCCTGACCGTGGACTCCGAGGATGGGATCATGTCCGCGGCCGGTTCCTCGTCGGACATGACAGCGGACGGGGAAGATGAAGAAGGAGATGAGGAGGACGAGGCAGTCGACAGCGCTGGCACCGCTGATTTCCCCGACAGCCAGGAGCTCTTCATCACCCTTACCGAGATCCCCTACCAACCGTCCCCATCCCTTACCCCGGACACAGAATCAGGGGAAGGATCAAGCAGTAAGTGCTGTAAACATGTAAACATTTATTTAAAACAGAACGGTAATATTTATACTATTAACAATGTACATTTATAAAAGTTCTGTAAACTAGTAAAAAAATAATCAGGTACAAAACAGGAATATTTACAAAGGTAACAAATGGGTTTT